ATATCTGTTAAAATATAATTTATTTCTGTGATCAAAGCTGTATTTTCAGCATCATTACTCCAGTCTTCAGTGTCACATGATCTTCAGAAATCAGTATAATATGCTGATCTGCTGCTCGAGAAACATTTCTGATTATTATCAATGTTGAAAACAGTTGAGCTGCACAATATTTTTGTGGAAACCGTGATATACTACAATTCAAAAGTTTGGGGTATGACAAAAAGTAAAAAAAATTAAAAATAAAATACTTTCTTATTCAACAAGGACACATTGCACGGATGTGACAGTAAATATATTTATAAATGTTTCTATTTTAAATAAATGTTGTTTTGAACTTTCTGTATCTAAATTATCATAAAAAAAAAAAAAAAAGGATTTCCACAAAAATATTGACAAAACTGTTTTCAGCATTGATAATATTAAGAAACATTACTAATTGATTGAGCACCAAATAATAATTTAAATGTATGTTTTACTCACAAATAGCAAATTCTAACCAATAATCATTTTATATAAATAGCTTGAAAAATGTATATTCATTAAAAAAAAAAAAATATATGAATTTGTAAGATTTTATTAAAATTTCCATGACTTTTCCAGATCTACAAATCAGACTTTTAAAATTCCCTCACATATCCAGCAAGATATTTATGGTACATCTGCCGTAATGACAAAGCTGTTCATTTTCAACTTTATTTTATTTTCAGAAACTACGAGTGGCAATATATTAAAATAACGATATTTCAAAAAAATTCAAGAGTTTACGCTTTTTTTTTTACCAATGAATTTACATGACTTTATATACATTTACGCACAAATAGCTATTTCTAGCCAATAAAATACTTTAATGCTTGACAATTCGAAAAATGTTTTGTTATGATAGGACAATATTTGGCCGAGATGCAACTATTTGAAAATCTGGAATCTGAGGGTGCAAAAAAATCTAAATATTGAGAAAATCATCTTTAAAGTTGTCCAAATGAAGTTCTTAGCAATGCATATTACTAATCAAACATTAAGTTTTGATATATTTACGGTAGGAAATGTACAAAATATCTTCATGGAACATGATCTTTACTTAATATCCTAATGATTTTTGGCATAAAAGAGAAATGTATAATTTTGACCCATACAATGTATTGTTGGCTATTGCTACAAATATACCCCAGCGACTCAACACTGCTTTTGTGCTGCAGGCTCACATTTCTTTCTTTCTTTCTTTCTTTCTTTCTTTCCATGACTTTTCCAGGTCTAGAAATCACACTTTTGAAATTCTCACATATAGTGAGGTTTTCTAGGTCCTTACTGATTTATTTAAATGTAAATTTTTAAGATTGTATTAATTTCTATGATTTTTCCAGGTATTTTGAAATTCTCAGTGAAGACAAAGAACCTGACGCTGGAAACTGGGTCTGTATCTGACAGCCTCAGAGTTTAGTTTTGGGCAGGATGCCGCTGTAACGATAGCATCATTCTGAGAGAGTAGAGTGCAGTGACTGTGATTCCTCCAAACTAGGACTGAACACTGGAACAGCAGAAAACCTCGTGAAGAGCTGACCTGAAGTCTGACGTGGCGCTGAAGGACTCGGGCTCGGTGATGGAGAAGACCAGAAGGAAGCCCTCTCCGCTGCGGAAGTAGTTGTCCCTGATGGCGGCGTAGTCTTCCTGCCCCGCCGTGTCCAAAATATCAATCTGCACCTCCTCTCCATCCAGGACCACCTTCTTCCGGTAACTGTCGGCCTTGGTGGGCTCGTAGTCCTCCACAAACTGAGGCGAGCAACGCAGATTACAAAGTGATAGTTATAACAGTAATAGTTTCTCCTGTAGAATCAGTGCTGTTATACTAAAACAAGTACTATTAAAAATCATGTTTGTTATTAAGAATAAACGGTAAATGAAATAAAATATAAACATTAGACTTTTTATTTAATTACAAATGTAGACAGGTGACGATCATTCATTTTAATTTCATTTTCAATTCAATTCATTTTGAGTCATTTTAGTACTTTGACTAATGTTAAGTAAAGATTACTAAAAATAAAAGTACAAAAAAATGACTAAAACTAAAATAAAAATAAATTAAAGCAAAATAGAAATATTAAAATAGAAACAACCTAAATGAAATCAAATAAGTTTAAGTATTGAAATGACTAAAACTAAAATAAGTTAGAGTACTAAATTTACTAAAACTGAAATAAACATTTATTAAAGTTAAACAGAAATGTAAAATTTAAAAAGTTGAAGTACAAAAATTATTCAAACTAAAATAAATAAAGCTAAATAGAAATATTTAAAAATAGAAACAACCTAAATTAATTGAAATAAGTTTAAGTATTGAAATGACTAAAACTAAAATAAGAAATTAAAGCTAAATAGAATTATTAAAAAATGAACTGAAATAAAATAAGTTAGAGTACTAAATTTACTAAAACTGAAATAAAAATTAAAGTTAAACAGAAATGTAAAAATTAAAAAGTTGAAGTTGAAGTACTACAATTACTAAAACTAAAATAAAATAAAAAACTGAAATAAAAATACATTAAAGCTAAATAGAAATATAAAAACAATAAAAATAACTGAAATAAAATAAGTTAGAGTACTAAAATTAATAAAGCTGAAATAAAAATATATTCAAGTAAAATAGAAATGGATTTATATATATATATATGAAATAAAAATGTATTAAAAAATAATAAGAAAGATAAAATAAAAATAACAAAAGCACATAACAAAATGACTAAAATTAAAATTATAAATGTTGCCTTGGCAACTAACTGAAATAAAATAAGTTGAAATTCAAATAAATGAAAGCTAAAATAAAAATACATATAAAAAAATAAAAAATGACAAATATTTTGAAAATATTTTTAAAAAGCTCATTAAAAATGTAATAAAATACAGAAATAAGACTATAAGGACGCGACAGGTGTGTAAATGAAGGACTTAATAAAGCTCACCTCGTCATACATGAACTGCAGCGTTAGAGCTGATTTGCCCACGCCGCCGCTGCCCACCATGATCACCTTGTGCAGAACCAGCGAACTCTGACCTTTGCTCTTGTTCGCTGCCATGACTTTAGTGCTCCAGAAGAAGACTGCAGACATGCACAAGAAAAATGATCAAATTCACAGACACGTACATTTATACATATACAACCAGTGCTTATTATTGATGCATACAACATACCCAATGACATGCACCTTAAATTTACATTAAAGTACATGATATAAAGTTTTTAGTGCTGAAAATCCCACATTATTACCATGCTACTGTATATGACTACAGTAATCATTGACTGTTATGGTACATAGTAAAGTACCATGGGGCCACTTTCCAGTCACTGAATTTTACTCTGTAATGGAAACAGCATCAGCGAATATTGATTATCAGTGAGAAACAGAAAACTGCAATATATTACTAAAACAGGTTGTTATTAAAATAACAAAAGCGATTTTCACTTTTCCACCCCTTCCTCATTGTAACAGACGAGAGCCCGCCTTTCCTAGCTCTTGATTGGTTGAGCAGACAGATTATGAGGCGGGGCCTCCTCTACTCGCGATCTGATTGGATATCCAAACTGTCAATCACAGCGTTTTCCCACAAAGACATATGGGCGCTTCAGCCGAGGAAATACCTCAAAACTGCAAAGTTGTTGTCTGCGCACACTGATTAAACATTGTAAAACTGATCACAACAGCGTAACCTCTTATAGATTACTCACCTCAAGTTTGATCTGTGGCGAGCCTTGGCCTGTATTCGCACATATAAACGGTTAAAACATAAGGGATCAAGTCCACTAGTCCCGTACAGCTACGCAGCCCCGCCCACCGGATATTCAAATCTCGCGGATATGACGTCACCGCACCATATATAGACATGTCGACCTGGGTCGTGTTTGTTCTTTAAATATTATTTGATGAATTTGTTACTTTTGCTGGCAAAGTTTAGTATACACAAATGCAAGCACGGTGATTATAAACCACTATTCCTAATTTTGAAATCAGAAGTTCAGCAGTACCTAAAATCTATTTATAATCTGATAAACTAGAAAGTTGTTTGTAAACATTTCCATTTTTTTTTTTTTTTTAAATTTCATTGTAATTTTGTGTTGTTCTTTTCTCTTAAACTGTAAAATGCTGAGTTATTCAATAAAATTAAAAAATTAAAACCAGGGTCGTGTTTACTTTCATGAATTGTCTTAAAGTTATGAGATGCACAATTTATGTTTTTTTTATTATTATTAAACAACCTCAATTTACCAACTCTAATAGAGAATAATATGCACACACACACACACACACACACATACATATGCATATGCATATTGTTCCCTATTAGAGTTTGTAAATTTATATATAATTATATTCATAGTGAAAGCTTGAAATATGTTAAGTGTCAAATTTATTATTAACTTTAAATATTTATATTATTTTTGCCTATATTTTATGTAAATTGCGCATTTTTCTGAATATTTAATATTTTGGACAATGCGTAATTTTGCTGCATTTATAAATGTAAACAGTACGCAGGGCCTATTTTGTGTGCGTGGGGGCGCTGTTTTACAACTTTAAGCTTCATCAGCGAGGCGATATCAGTCATAAACCACAAGACTGTGCATTTATACAAAACTAAAACTACATTTAATTTGGATCCAAACTGCTTTTTATTATAAAAGACCCCCTTTTCACATTATTCTATTTAAAGCTCGGCGTCCAGCTCTGGTCTGGTCTGTGAGAGCCAGTCAGTGCGCTCCTCTGGCCCCTGCTTAACCAGTTCACGAGTTCACACCTTCATTCTCTCAAAGCAGTTACAAGTGTTGCTCATTTGCTTTCATTGACTGAAACCTGCTGTTTTATTCAAAGGGGATGCTTCATCTTTTCCAGACCCACATTTCGTCCTTCGCTTTTGTACACAGAAACATTTGACCTAGATTTAACAAAATGATCCATAATCACCTAAAATGGTGTCTTTTGTACTTACAGCAAATATAAAAAAGTGAGTTTTTTTTCTTCTTTTAATAAGATCTACTGAAATTTGGGCCATTGCACATTGCAAAATGAACATCATCTATACACTTCATATATACGCTATATATATATATTGCTTATGACATTTATGTTGCATGTAATTTTACTTTTGCACATTTCCCCTGAAGATCCCGAGCTTTCTCAACCTTTATGATTCTGGAACTGGTGGTTCGTCCCACGTGGTTCTTCAGTCCAGTATAAAAAACTTTCCAGAGGCTCAAAAGCGGCACAATGTCTGTTTGCACGAGAAACAAGCCGAAGCTCCCGAACACACACACACACGCACACACACATACACACACAGAGAGAGCTATGATGAAGAAGTATTTGGGAAACGAACACTGGAAGTCAAAATGCCCAACAAAGGAGGACACGATCTTCAGCTGAAGAACTAAAAAGGCGAATGCTTGTTTGGAAAACCGGGGGCTCCTTCTTTGACTTCACGCTCGCTCCCCTTCACCATGGATGATTTTAACTCGATAGAGTGAAGATATCACCGGGACAAATCATAACAGGTCCTTTGTCTAGTCTGTGGGGTTTTACACGCGTAATGCTGAGATTTTTTCAGCTGAAGAACTAAAAAGGCGAATGCTTGTTTGGAAAACCGGGGGCTCCTTCTTTGACTTCACGCTCGCTCCCCTTCACCATGGATGATTTTAACTCGATAGAGTGAAGAAATCACCGGGACAAATCATAACAGGTCCTTTGTCTAGTCTGTGGGGTTTTACACGCGTAATGCTGAGATTTCCAGTCATGCCATGACGCATCAGACGCGTGCGTAAAGTGCCATTCGCGGCTGTACGTGGACAGATATCAAGAGCTCTGGTTACTTTATTATTAACACATCATATATTTTTATCAACTCTGAGAGATTCGGATGGTGTGACGAGCCGTTCTTACTGTGATATCGATCCGAATTGTGTTGAAATCATCGCGGAGTCACCAAAAACAAGAATCAACCGCAGGAGCATATTCCAGACGTTTACAGGATTTACTGCGCTTGCGTTTAATTCGGACCGGACCTCCTCTAAAAGTGGATATTACAGTTATTTCACTTTTCAGTATCACTTTTTTGGGGGGGAGAGACGGAGGCGGATACGAACTTGGCCGCTTTCATCTCCATCAGCTCTCGTATCCGCTCGGAAACTGCTGTTTATCATCACGGAAGATGAAAAGCTTGATATTCGAAGTGCTTTGTTTTGTGTCCATCCTCATCTCCATCCGCTGCACACCGGCACCGGACACCGAATCCCCGAGCATCAGCCCGAGCTGCGCGTCCTGCGGGCTCAGACAGACGGATGGAGCCACACGGGTGGACGTGGATTTGCTGGAGGCGGTGAAGAGACACATTCTGAGCCGGTTACAGATGCGGGACAGACCCAACATCACCCACCCCATCCCGAAGGCGGCGATGGTGACCGCGCTCAAGAAGCTCCACGCCGGGAAGGTGCGCGAGGACGGGAGGGTGGAGATCCCGAACCTGGACGGACACGCCGCGTCCATGAACGAGGTGGAGGAGGAGACGTCGGAGATCATCAGCTTCGCCGAGACAGGTGTGTATGCGGCGGGTCTGCGTGTGTCCGAGCGCGCTGCGCGGTTACGCACAGGTACGCTTCTGATTTGCGACGCTTTATAAGGGTGGGTTTAAGCACAGACCTTAAAGTTTTGACTACAATCAAACTATTTAACTTTTCCACGCTTCAGGACAAAATTTACGGTTCATATAAAAGGCTTAATGAATATAGCGGGGCATGTTGTCACAGTGTGACTCTGCTAGGCCAACAGTAAAACTACTGCGAAGAACGAAACAATGAATAAAACAGCACAAAGCATATAGAAACATTAAACTATTGCCAAACTAAAACGTAATTAATAAGCTTATTACAATTACAACATGTGTGACAACTTGCCCTGGCCTAGCACCTATGAAAAATACCCTAAGAACACAGCTTAATCTTTTTAGTTAAAAATATAAACATCATTTTTTATATAGTGACTCTTCTATTAATGTATGACGGTGTTTTTATTATTGTATATATATATGTATATATATGCTAATGATTTTGTAATATCCATACACACACACACACATATATGTGTGTGTGTGTATGGATATTACAAAAACTTTAGCATTTTAGCCTAGATGAAAGAAACCACTTAACACAGTGTTTGAAACCATCATGAAAACTACTGATAGAGAAAACGACTTTGTCTTTGGCATGATGAAAAATACCCTAAGAACACAGCTTAATCTTTTTAGTTAAAAATATAAACATAATTTTTTATATAGTGACTCTTCTATTAATGTATGACGGTGTTTTTATTATTGTATATATATATATGTATATATATGCTAATGATTTTGTAATATCCATACACACACACACACATATATGTGTGTGTGTGTATGGATATTACAAAAACATTAGCATTTTAGCCTAGATGAAAGAAACCACTTAACACAGTGTTTGAAACCATCATGAAAACTACTGATAGAGAAAACGACTTTGTCTTTGGCATAAGAACACTTTTTCACTGGAGGAAGCTTTATTATGGATTATGGACTCGTATTTTAGTCAGAAGTGATGGTTTAAAGTTAAAAACATCTTAGTGATGGATTTGTTTCTTACAAAGATGCAGCTTTTGTCTTCTCAAGACATTAACTGATGGACTGGAGTGGATTATCAGCTGTTTTATCAGCTGTTTGGACTCTCATTCTGACGGCACCCATTCACTGCAGAGCATCCATTGCTGAGACACTGATGCAATGCTGCATTTCTCCAAATCTGATGAAGAAACAAACTCATCCTAATCTTGGATGGCCTGAGGGTGAGCACATTTAAGCAAACTATCATTTTTGGTTAAAATATTACTTTAAAGTTACTGGATTGCAGCAGAACAAACAATCTGCCATAGTGCCTTAAGATCATATTTCAGAGTGCACGTCTTTTACAAAGACAAAAGATGTTTGTCTTCATAATGTTTCATCGAAATGAAAAGTCTTTTCTTTGCAGTTGACGTCAAATAGCTAGTAATCTAATATCAGTTAATGCAATAAAGGTTGCATGAATAAAATCAAATAATGATCTTTTTCATACAGAAAAGTCAGGATTGGGATACATAAAGCTGCGTTAGAGAGTAAACTTGTCTTTCAGCATCAAAAATCCTCCTCAAAAGTGTCGTGAGTACTGCAAACTCACATTCAGATCTGCCATCATTAATTCCCACTGGAAACAATCACATCCCGTGCTGCATTTTTCCCTCTTGAATATCCTGTTACATTCAAAAATCTGTCACATTATGCAAGTAAAATGGGATGCAAAGAGCGTTTCATGTTGAGTTGAGGTTTTTCAGCGCATTGAATTTGCTAAACAAATTGAGCAGCATGCAGCAAGAGTTCAAGGTTAAAATAACGTCAGAAGCAAAGAGCTCACGCTTGCTCTCAAAAACAATAAATGCATCCTTTCTTAGTGAAGCAGATATTTATAAACGTCACAGCACGCAGGATTGAATCGTACCAACGCACCGCAGGTCCAGTCGCAAACGCTGCCCTGTGAAGTCCACACGATTTCAAGCACCATTTGGGACGAGGCCGCAATTATCCGAACCCAGCGCAGATCTGGACCTTTGACCCTTTGTGCTGTGGCTGCCAAGATGAGACTCGCATCCGGACGAGATCCAGGAACAGCTGACTGAAATGATGGAGATCTAAAATGAGCAGTGGTGCCGTACGTCCAGACGGTTCACTTACGGCTGCTGAAATATTGGGCTGCCCTGATATTCCTGATCGTGTCTGGTTAACCGGTCTATATATGGGCCGGTGTCGTCCAATGCAGGTTATTGGATTCAACAGATTTTGTTTTCGCAGATGTGCTTCTTAAATGAAGTTTGGTGGCTTTATACTCTTTTTTGAGGTCTTTGCTCTGAGCTTTCCATTTGAAGTCAACATCAAATTTCATTTGCAACACGTTTTACTCCCGTAATGTGACATATTTAAGAATGAAACAGACATAGATCGTAGAATAAAGTATGTTTTAAAACATGATTTCATTCACTGACAAGATTGACGACGTCAGCTGAAAAGTAAGTCATTTTATATTTTGATGAAAGATTATAAAGAATACCTTTTAGAATAACATGCACTGATGAATCATTCACAATAAGACCAGGAATAATAATACTAATAATAACTTTCATAAAAATTTTATATAATGCATAATGCTTACTTAATGCTTCATATATAAATAATAGAACATTAAAAATATTAAAAATAAAAATAAATGAAAAAGGAAAATAAAACAAGAGGCAAGTAATAATAATAATAATAATAATAATAGTAATAGTAAAAGTCATGGGTCAGAATATAAAAATAATATAAAAATGATTAAATTTATAAAAGGTTGCAATTTAGTAAATAATTAGTAAATAATGAATAATATAAAAGCAAAAATAAACATAAAATAAATAAAACATAAAAAGGAAGATACAACAAGAAGGAAATAATAATAACAACAATAATAAAACATTCTTTAAAAATATATAAAAATATAGTATTAGTGGTAAAATATCAATCAAACACAAATTAAATAAAAAAAAGACTTTAGAGATTTAAATATCATATTCACCGTTATTTGACCCTCTAACTCTAACACTTTCTAATCTATTTGAATTCTACTTTATCTATATTTATCTTTTTAAAATTTTCTAATTAAAAAAAACCAAACAAACACTAGCTTTCTATTTTTTCTATTCTATCTACTTGTTTTTCTTTGTGTATATATGTGTGTGTGTATAATATACAGTGGGTACGGAAAGTATTCAGACCCCCTTAAATTTTTCACTCTTTGTTATATTGCAGCCATTTGCTAAAATCATTTAAGTTAATTTTTTTCCCTCATTAATGTACACACAGCACCCCATATTGACAGAAAAACACAGAATTGTTGACATTTTTGCAGATTTATTAAAAAAGAAAAACTGAAATATCACATGGTCCTAAGTATTCAGACCCTTTGCTGTGACACTCATATATTTAACTCAGGTGCTGTCCATTTCTTCTGATCATCCTTGAGATGGTTCTACACCTTCATTTGAGTCCAGCTGTGTTTGATTATACTGATTGGACTTGATTAGGAAAGCCACACACCTGTCTATATAAGACCTTACAGCTCACAGTGCATGTCAGAGCAAATGAGAATCATGAGGTCAAAGGAACTGCCTGAAGAGCTCAGAGACAGAATTGTGGCAAAGCACAGATCTGGCCAAGGTTACAAAAAAAATTCTGCTGCACTTAAGGTTCCCAAGAGCACAGTGGCCTCCATTCCTTAAATGGAAGACGTTTGGGACCACCAGAACCCTTCCTAGAGCTGGCCGTCCGGCCAAACTGAGCTATCGGGGGAGAAGAGCCTTGGTGAGAGAGGTAAAGAAGAACCCAAAGATCACTGTGGCTGAGCGCCAGAGATGCAGTCGGGAGATGGGAGAAAGTTGTAGAAAGTCAACCATCACGGCAGCCCTCCACCAGCCGGGGCTTTAGGCCACAGGGGCCCGACGGAAGCCTCTCCTCAGTGCAAGACACATGAAAAAACACCTGAAGGACTCCAAGATGGAGAGAAATAAGATTCTCTGGTC